AGCAATATCAACGATCTCCAGTCGATGGACCAAGTCGTATGGATCCCCATACAATGGCTCAGACATGTAGATTTTGTCCTCCTTATACTTGGATACACTTGTTTCACTGAAGCTTTCATTGAAATGTTTAGACACGAACATTGTCTGATCACCGATGTCCCTCACCCTGGACCACTCCGACGTACGGTCGTGGAGGTTGCACTTATAGATCGCGCTGCTGTAGGTGAAGCTCTGTGTCTCGTGGAATGTGCTCACCATGGCACCCACAATGTGTAGCCCACCGTTTGATTCTAGGTAGCTGCGGTGGTAGAGCCCCGCAGGTGGCGACAACGATGGCAACAGCGTCGCGGTTGAAGTAGCGCCGGCGGCGTTGCTGCTGCAGACGGAGATTTATCTAGTGCAGTTGATCGCCAAGAACTTGTCTTGGCAGTGGACGATAGACCCCACGGAGAACTCCAGTTTGGTGTCAAGCAGCGTCCATGCGCTGTCGACTCCAACCCGGCAAAACGCGACCTCCGTGGAGCACCCAAGCATGGCCATGGCCACGCACTCGCGGCCAGCAGCGTTAGGCGGCGCCGAGAGCACGATCTCACGGAAGAACATGTCCCTCATGTCTTCTAGCTTAATGGCTCTGCCTGCGGCATCCGCGTCCCCGTAGTCGTTGGTGGGATGGAGGACCCAACGACCGTGGACCCTAGACACGCGTTTCGATGAGGACGCCGCCGCGACGTGTTCACCTGCTGGCGGGAGCTCAACGCGGGGGGTACGGGCACCGGCGAATGGATTCAGCAGCGTCACGGACGCCGCCTCGTCCATGAGCGCTAGCCACCCACACGAGGAGCCGCACGCCACCTTGCCACACACGTCGGGCAGCGTCTTGGACAAGACCTTCTTCTCCGAGATGTAGTAGAAGCCAACACGGTCTGAGTCGGGGTCGAACGGGAGCAGCAGGAGCGGCCCGAAGGTCGCGAACGGGACGGCGGCGCGCCATGGGGAGCAAGCGAATCGGAAGGACGCCGTGTTATGGCCTGATGCGAGACGCTGCCTGATGGACTCGAGGAGATCCTCTGGCAGGCCAGATCTCCAGTCAGGGAGAGGTAGAGACCTTCTCGTGGGATTAGGAGGCTGAGCCATGGAAGACAGATGACATCAACTATGGTTCACGCAAGAAACAGCAAGCGAGGGCGATGAAACATGTGAGCGTGAAACCAAATGAAAGGAGGAAAAAGTTGTCCCTTTTGCAAATGCAAAGAGGGGGAGTAATTAAATATAAGCAAATTTGGCAAGGTTCTTAGAAATGTAAAGAGGTTCTTTTTGTCTTAATTCTTTTTCCTTCTGTGTTAATTCTCTTTCCTTTTGCTCGTTGCCATGTATGCTGATGCATGCAAACATGCAATGTGTATATGGATAGCACAATAATTTTCTACTTCCTATTTTGCCGTGATTCCTCTATCACATGACAGGCAATATTCAATCAAGGAGAATGGCACGATCAATCAGCAATTAAGATGTGGGATCGCATGCGTGGACAGATGGACGAACCAAAACAAATGTCGCACAAAAAATATCCACGCTTTGTTCTTTTTAGTTGTAGGAGATAGTGAATGCCATGTGGTACCAGTTGGAGTTGATTCGACCACGGAAAGCACTGATGTCTATGAAGATAGTGACTGGCTACATCGAAACAACTCATACAATCCCATGAAGATTGATAAAGATAACACATGTACCATTTTGGTTTTTTTTCTCCTAAATACTAATATTTTTTTGTGTTTGTATGATGCCGAGGCCAAGGTTAATATCATGTTATTATATATATGTAGATGAATACTCTGATAAATGTATAAATCAAAGTGGCATGATTGGCATGACTGATGCATCACCTGATCTAAACTCAGGTACATTGTTTTTTTTCATTAATGTTATCTATTTGAGAAAAAAAGTGTAGCGGGCAACCCAATTGTGGTTCATGACAATGTAATAATAAATTAATGTTCTTGTAATATGTGTCCTTCTGTATTTTATTTGAGACCGTACTTTTCTATTATATATAGGTGCTGTAAATGCATCCAGTTCCATCGACAATATTGTCACGTGTCCAAAAGAGCGTAAGCGTGAGCTAGATAGAGCACAAAGGGTTGCAATGTCTCCTAAATAAAAGACGCTTTTAAATAAGAGACGACGTGACTTGTATGCACAGAAAAATGCTACAAAAAACTACAAATGACTCCACAAGAGGAGTTGAAACGAAAAGAGAGTAAGAAAAAATACAATAGGATGGTGAAAAAACACCGAGCCAACAATTTGCATCAAGACTCAATAGCCATGGAGAGCCCTCACTTTAACCCTCAGTTTATTTTCCTTTCTTCACCTCAATCGCATGAAGCGCCTTCACACGAGATGGAAATACGCGAATTGAGGGGCATGCCTGTTAACGTCGCGCCGACTGTAGTTCAAAATCCAGAAGTCCAGACCCCTGAAGTGGCTACGACACAGACCATACATAGGCAACGAGTGACCACTGGAGAGAGAAATGCCCTTCTATCCCGTCGCAATCGGGCTTTTGAAGCAAACATTAGAAGAAGGGCTAGAGGGTGTGCGGATGAGAAGTGTAATGATTCAAACGTCCCAACTTAACCGAGTGTCATTTACAACGGTAATTAGCCTTGATCAGTATATATTGTTGGCACTTTCACCTTCGTTCTTCTATTCTAAAAACTCATACCTTTTGTTACTACAGATGCTATCACCTAGGAAACTCCAGTTTCACCACCTAATAATTGCACAGGTGCACAGACACAACCGTCTGTAGTTGACGGTACCTCTTCAATGCATCCAAACGGTGCACAAGCTCATACTTCAGACTCTATGGCCGAGGATGGTATTTTCTTTATTAAATTTATCCTTTTTTGTTTTTTTATGCCATTATGTTTCTCTCATCATATATGTGGCCGTGTTGCACAGACTTGTGTGATGGCATAATGAAAATTGAACATGTGTTATATTATTGTTATAAAAATGACACTTTGAATGTTTTGTTCATAATATTTCGTTATGTAACCATTCATAACTATTACACGTGTATGTTTTCAAAACTATGAGTTTTGTCGACTTTCCCCACTTTTCTCATGTGCTAATGTGGGATCAACCAAATTAGCACCTACATAATTACAAACATAAATTACTTGAATAAAACCAACGAAGCAAGTTAGCGATAATAGTGAACAATAGTGCTAAACACCACCATATCAGTGGTCGTGGGATGGCACGATCGTATTGGCGTTGGTTCCGCGCATTCACGAGGATAGCTCCTTTGTATTTCCTATTGTTGCACCAGGGTCATTAGTTTATGAGCACAAAAGAAATGGATATCGGAGATTTCTTCCTGCCAATATAAAACATTATCTTAGCCGCATCACGGAAAGATCTATAAAGTAGAGTTTGTGAGCCTGTGACGCCGCGCACTCCGTGACTGTGTTAAATTCATAAACTTTACTTTTTTGATTAAATGTCACTTTAACGTTGGTATTTAATTTTTACAGTATTGTTATCTTATTATGCGATCCGTATGTTTTTAGTATAAAATATTATCTATTCCGTAGCAACGCACGGACACACTGTCTTGTAGTATATAAAGAAGCAGTATGCACACGACAAGGAGAATTTGATCTTTGGTCTATTCGCTTTTGCATAAAACTTTAGCATCCAGGTGGTGTTTAATACCTCTGTTAAACTCACAAATGGGGTACGTTGCATTCAGGGTCGCATCCAATGTGCCCAAAATCATGGTATGCCCGACCATGCACCCTGTTCTTAGACAGAAGAATATTGTCGATATTATCCTCTTCTACAACCACGTGTCCCAGGCTCTTTCTCCGATCTCCTCTTTAATTACCATTTTCATGTAAACAAGTTAGTCAACAGAGTTATATATCGAAGTCTTCAAATATTACGTAATAGATAAGCTTCTTCTTAGACGTTCCTTAAGTCTGAACACACGTTACCATTGCAGTTACAACACCAAGCTTGGCACTTTGCCAGCGCGGCCGGCGCTGCGAGCAGCCAACCCGCTGCCGCCGACGGAGCCTCCCTCGCGGTTCACGATCCCGACGCATATCCCTGTCCTGTGCGCTCAGGCGGCAGCTCGTCTCCTGCGGCTGTGCCTGGGCCTTGCCTGCCGTGGCCCGCCATCACGGGCAAGCAGTGGCCACGCAGAGCTTGTCAAGTTTTTGTGTCTGCTCTCTGCTACATCGTCTCTCTGTTTGACAGTTTTGTGATTTGTGAATAGGTCTGACAAACTTAGCTAAAAAGTTCCAGTGGTGTAAGTACCAGTTTTAGTCCATTCAGTTTTTTCTCAAAACGAAATAAGCAGTCTGGAAAACCTTTTCCGTTCAAAGAAAACACTACTCAAGCAGCACGACGAGTGGGGAACAGAAATCAACATGGAAACAAGAACGGAAGGAGAAATTAGGACCAAGTAGTAGCTACTTCACTGAATCCAGCGAGTCCATCAGTACAGAATTCTAGGGAAGGAGCTGGATAGCCCTTTTGTACATGACTTAGCTTACAATTTTAAGCTAGTTTGGTAACTTACATATAACTTAATAAGAAGATAAACAATATTAACGCGCTTAGGCGCTAACACTGCTGAAGATTAAAGGTATCCAGTGGATCGCAGATCAAAGCTTCATGTGAAGAAGTCGGTCAACCGGTACCTGTGGTTCAAACTTCAGTTCCCACCTCATAATAGATGAAATGAAACGGGTTCAGGTAGCTTGCTGCGCGCCTGACACTGACAGGGACAATGACAAGGATGTGCCTCGAGTGTCCGGGCACTTCGGACAAGTTTATTTTGATGCCTTCATTCAGTGGGTAATGGAATGAACTTGTCCAGCACTTCTCTTATAAAAGAAAAAAGAACTTGTTCAGCACCAGTAGCAGAGCAATCTCCAAAACAACCAGCCACGGCACTAACAACTGGAACTTGTCCAGCACTTCTCTTAAAAGAAAAAGAGAACTTGTTCAGCACCAGTTGCAGAGCAATCTCCAAAACAACCAGTATTACCAGCCACGGCAGGAGACATGACCGTCCTAACAACTGGTTCACTTTTGCTAGTTGCCTGTTGTCCTGCTCCCTCATCTGCAAGTCTGAACGCTAAACCTGAAATGAACAGAACCAGCGGCAGCTATTGAACAGTTAGCCATCAGATTGCAATGGTATAAAGTGGAACTGAAGGAGACTCAAAATGCGACACCAGAATACAGGTGACGAACTATGGTTAGGTTATGCTCCTCTTTGAGCTTTCAGCGTCTAGCTGTTTGACCAAACCACATTTCTTCCCAGGCCTTGTTTAGATTGAAAAAAATTTCAACCCGATGAATAGTAGCACTTTCATCTTATTTGATAAATATTGTCCAATCGTGGAACCAACTAAGCTCAAAAGATTCATCTCGTGATTTCCAACTAAACTGTGCAATTAGTTATTTTTTTACCTACATTTAATGCTCCATACAAACGGCTAAAAATTGATGTGATGGAGAGAGAATGAAAAAACTTGGAATTTTGAGGGTATCTAAACAAGGCCCCAGTAGCCTAATGTCAATCATGCAACTGAGCAACCTGCAGTTCCCTCCACATTTTCGCATCCGGGCTTGGGACCGGCAAAGGCAGTGTTAAACCGCAAACAAACAAACAACAAATCAGGAAACACAAATAATAGCCAGGAAAAATAATCATGTTATCAGACATGTAACCGGTTTGTGCGCCAAACAAAGTAGCTATTCTTTTAGCATATAAACAAGGCATAGCTTATGAATGAGCATCGAGCACATGTTATGACAAATTAATTGTGCAAAACAACAAAGAAGCAAGGAAGACGCTTTGAAAAAACCAATAAAACATTTAGTGGGAACAATCAATAAGTAAACCAGTCCAAATACATGTGAACAGGTATCTGGAGTTTGCATCTAGTAGTTTATTTAGTCTCAGGACTGAAAACATTCAACGCGTGCCAATTGTAAAACATCACAAGCTTCGAGTTAATCTTGTCCAATAAAGTCAGGAAGTGCACAGCTAAAAAACAGCCAGCGTACGTGCAATTTTTAGTTTATACAGTTGAGATATCCAGCTTATCACAAAAATCTGACCACAGTAAAGCTTCACGACCACTGATAGAGAAACACAGGTGCCAGCTCAAGTTCACTAGTAGAAGTACCAAGTTTCCTCCCAATTTCCATATATTATTTGATAACCAGAAATCCAAGTAAAAAATATGGTTTCTAATCATTGGCTAATAATTTGATTAAACTGAGATTCTTCGTTTTAGCATCCCCATTTCTCAGCTGTCAGCACCAACAAATGCAGATAATGCAACATGGACATGGTACATTATGTTCCAATACTATTGCCATCGCCTATGTTGCTTGTACCACTTTGCAAGGCAGGCAGTTGGGTTTCCAACCTAACCAAATGCAAGATAACCAATCCTAGTGCGAAGTTAACCTAACTACTCAACATACTAATTTGGAGATAATACAGAGTTACACAAACAGAACCAATTCCATCCTAGCTTGCATTCAAGTTGACCAAACACCAACATGTACAAATGACAAATGGAACCAACCATTAAGTTCACTAATCATTCAAGGGCAAGAAACCCAGTCGTAATGAATTCAAGCAAGCACTGAAGCTTACATGGAGTTTTTATTGCTACAGTCCAATCCTAAAGACCTTACACTTCAAACACTGCATATCATCGCAACAGCCTGAATAATCTGAACCAGGATGACTCAACTTCAACCCAAACTTGTGAAACTGAACGTGAAATTGAAAATCCATGTATATAAGCATTACTGCTAGTCCATGACAGAAATGGCCAAACAGCAAGCAAACAGAAGACTCCAGTTCCATCCAAAGTACAGAGAAGCTTGCACTGCGTCACCAAGATGGGCATATAAGCTGGCATAGTCAAGGGCAACAATCATTCAGCCAAACAAGTTTGTTCAGACAGATTTTCTTTGGGAGGAACAAAAAGCGCAACATCCTTTCTCGGTTTTGATCCACAGCAGATAAGATGCACCAGATGGAAGCCCAAAGTGAGAAAATTGCAGAACGAAGTTCAAAAAAAGGGAGGACCAATGTCACAAACAGCAGATTGGGTCTGCATAAAATAGAGATGAAGGCATAAAGGATGCAGTAAAGGAAGTGCTCCGTTCGTTCCAGGCAATCAATCTCATGATAACCAACAAAACTAAATAACAGTATCACATGAGATCAATCTCTCTTCAATTCCAGTTATTACAGCTCAAAAAAGAGTATAGTTAGTAAGTTGCCTTTGCTCACAATAAGACCTAAATTACTAAAAGGAACTGTGCAATATGACAAATTTAATAACGAATGCACATACTGGACTAGGGGTTATACCAAAGGAAGTAAAATCAGAAGCAAACCAGGAACTAAAAGTAGTAGTTAGTAAGTGGCTTTGCTCATAATAATAATAATAATATATAATACATAAATTACTGAAAAGAACTGTGCAATATGACGAATTTAATAGCGAATGCACATACTGAACGAGTAGGTGGACTAGGAGTTATACCAAATACCAAAGTTAGTAAAATCAGAAGCAAACCAGGAACTAGATTAAACATTAGTAGGGATCCTAACAGAGAGATTGGGAATTTGGGACCATAAAGAATATGATGACCACATATGCTCAAGTAAAATATCCTACTAGGAACCTATTGTTTCCAGAATCTGAATAATTTTGCTCAATGAAGGTATGCATGTCAAGCAAGAGTTCTTACTGGAAATCAACGCAAATAGTGGGCGTGCACCATCAGATGAGGCATGTGGGTTAAGGACAGCTTCAAATAAAGTTTATGCAAAGGATTATTTATCACTGGAAGGAAGACTCCATAGGTGGAAACGTCTAGAACTCAGAAGGCCTAACCATCCATCCACATCTTACCTCCAACTGCGGGAATCCAACCAAACATCCATCAACTTAAATCAGACAAGTGGATCCAAAAGGACCAGTATGAGCAAAGAGTATTAGGTGTAAACTCTGGTTAGATGGAAGAATATTGTAAGGTGTGCCTCATCACTCCAACATCCAAGATTCCAAGCATTAACGCTCTCAAATAACTGGAAACCAAGCAAACAACCACCAATCCAAATCAAACAAGTGAACTGGAAAGTGATGTGCAGTCGATAATCATAATAGTAGTTAGCGCAAACTCTGGGCAGAGCATTGTCTTGGTTGTGATCATGTGAATCATCTAACTAGCGCAGAGCATCCAAACAGCAGGTCAGTCCAAGTAACCAAGCTTTACATTAATGCACGCTATCCGGAAGTTCCCTGGTTAGCAAAAGTGAAGGTACCAGAATTCGAAACAGGCAGATCAGATTGAACTTGCAAATTGTAAGTGCAGAATCTACATTTACCAAAGAGCCCATCTATGATTTCTGTCTATTTTGGTTCTGGGATAGGCTTAAAAAACCTTCAAATCCAAGGCGGATCAAATGGCCAGTGGAACAGGGATGGGCTTTGGCGACAGCAACTATGGTTGGAAATTCTATCTCAGCTTCTGTGTGTCACATCTGCACAAACTTGAAAGAGTTACTGGTTGAAGGAAGTAACTGGATAGGACTGTTGATAGAAACGAAGAATTAGAAGCCTCCTTGTAATTTAGATTGTTGCAGCACAAAAGAACTCCTAGGCATCCTGCCATCCTTATAGTTTAAGTGGCTGGAAACATAAGGGACTACAGATCAAAACAGATGGAAAACTATTGTAGACCAAATAGACAGAAGTGAGAAGTGAGAAGTGAGAGGTCAAGCGTCACAAATTTTTTTCCCAATTTGTTATCTCCAATTGAGGAAAATCCACCTCCAATGTCCTCCTGCATCTCTAAAGGACACGAACACATACCACAACCAATTTGAGCTACATACAGTACCGAATAAATCCAGGGTCTCAAACCTTGCTTTACTATTACTATCAGCAATATCCATGGAGAGCCAGAATGTTACCCCCAACCATTCAGATCTGAAATCACAGAAAACAAGTGACGAAACTAACATAACCGGAATGATCATGCTCTAGACTCTGACCTGCCCCCAGTTTCAAATATCAGTTCTTTGCTACAGGGATTTCCAATTGCCAAACTCATCCTGCAACCACATGTAAAAGCGAGCACAAAAACATAGATAAAGCCAGACAAAGCATCCACAGATAGAAATCCCAAACCAAACATTTTGACTGTTGGACTACCAATTATTTCAGCTAATTCTGCGAAACAAAGAAATGTCAGCAGCACAATAATTAAAGCTTCGGTCAAAGCATAGCATGATAAAACCCATGCAAAAAAATATCAGAAGACCTGCAATAATGACCCCGATCATTATCTACTTTGAGGTAGAAGACACTGAACAAACACAATGAGAGTTGAGAGTTCAAGGTTGTAGGTTCGAGTAGATGCAGAGACTGGTTCCTTTTGTGCCCGTGCAAGTATATCACCTAGAGATCTGCAATCAGCGAGACCACCCTCTGGTAACTATCTATTTGATAGTGAGATGAGAACACTAAAACAGCATGAACATTCATCGAATAATGTGGGGATAGGGTAGCCTGATCAATCGCCGACAATTTCAGCTGCAAGTCCTATCTCTGTAGTGATGCCTCCCAAAACTGCAGATTTACTATCGAAGCATCAAAGGTAGCCTACGAGAAAATTCAATTTTCAAAGAACATTGACAGGAGAGGATTGTTATTGAACAAACACAGGGAACCCTGGACAGTTCAGAACTTCTTATTGCTCATGCAGAAGCAGAATCAAACTCAGGGCCGATCCATCCATATAATCCAGTTGCTGGAGAAAACCACCAGCCCAAATACATAAGAAACAAGAAATTTAAGAGTACCAAATAGAAAGTGAGAGGTAGATATATCCAAACGATGTTCTCCAGATGCTACGAACTCGGAGTCCAGTCAAATCTTCAATCTACCTCCAAACCATCACCTTTGTTGCCTCTGCAGATCCAGCTAACAGAGTTTTTCCCGAATGGACAATCAGGCTTATAATTAGTCCGGTGGCAATCTTCACACCACCATGATTGACATCAAAACAGCCATATAAACAAATAAAAAACAACGAACATAAGCAAACCTCCACCCTTCAACTAATCTCTCCATAAACAGCAAGGACCTTTCCTTTTGCATCTAGGAGGACAAACTTTCTCCCAAAACTGCAGATTTACTAACGAAGATCAAAGGCAGCCTATGAGGAAGGTCAATTTTCAAAGAACATTTGACAGGGGAGAGAGGACGGTTAGTGAACAAACACAGGGAACCCTGAACAGTTCCGAACTTCTGATTTCACAAGCAGAAGCAGGATCAAACTCGCCTCCAACCCATCCTTCCATATAATCGAGTTGCTGACTCGCCTCCAACCCATCAATCCATATAATCAAGCTGCTGGAGAAAACCACCAGCCCCAATATAAGAAAAGAATTGCAACGGACAGAAATTTAAGAGTATGATGATGAATCAATAGAAGAGTGATAGGTAGATATATCCAAACGATCTTCTCCCGATGCTACGAACTCCAGTCCAGTCAACGCCTCAATCAACCTCCAAAACATGACCTCTGTTGCCTCTGCAGATCCAGCTAACAACATTTTTTTCCAATAAAGGACAATCAAGCTTGTAATTAGTCCGGTGGCAATCTTCACACCACCATGATGACACCAAAACAGCCATATACCAAATCAAAAACGGGGAATGAACCATAAGCAAACCTCCACCCTTCAACTAATCTCTCCATAACCAGCAAGGACCCTTCCTTCTGCATCTAAAGTAAAAGGAGGACAAACACCCAAAAGGCCACAAGCTAGATCAGCCGTTAAAATAAGAATGGACCGAAGGTCTCGAATCCACCTTGTGTGCAGGCTACGATGGCAGTATCTGATGCCAAATCCACCTTGTGTGCAGGCTAAGATGGCACTATCTGGTGCCAGAAGACCAGGAGACAATTGGGCCTGAAACCACCGAATCCATGTCCAAGTGACAAAACCAATGAACCGCCGGATCTGACAGAAGACTGACCTGCCTCCATCTCCTCGCCACACGCCGCCATGACGAACTCCCAACACCCAATCCGATCCAATCCTGCAACCCACACCCTGAGAAGACGAAGACGAAACAGGATCGACACGAAAACTAGACGAATCGCAGGAAAGAATAAACCGCAAACCGAACCACCCGGCCAAACCAAACTCGGGCTCAATCCCGGCGTCGCAAGGAACAACCCCGGCCAAACCAAACTCGGTTCGCTCCCTCCCGACGTCGCACGGAGGCGAAACGGCCCCAAGGAATCTGCGAGAGCACGGAGGCGCAATATATAGCAGCGAAACAAATCAGCCGGAGAAGAAGAAACCGACCCCGCTCAAATCGAAACCGAAACGGAGAGAAGAAATGGAAAACGCAAACGCGCCGAGGCGACGAAGTGCAAGGCGTCAAGGCATGACAGGCGAGGCGCTTGAACACCGACGCGAAGAGAGGAAAACCAGAGCGCGAGGGGAAGAGGTCGTCCGGTGGGCTCTATTTATGGGCGGGGAGAGGCGGTGGAGACGGAGTGGAGGGTCAGGGCCGCCTGGCGCCAGCCGGAGAGGAATCCGTGGCGGACACGGCTCTTTGGCGCCCCGCTGCGCTGCGCTGGCGTGCGCAGGGACGTTGGCCTTGGCCGCCCGGCAAAGCAAGGGCAAAGCTGGGGTCGCGTCGTGCTCACACGAACGAGCGGACGGCGGCAAAGGGGGGCTGAATTGGTCGGATCCGGGTTGGTTTTGAACTGGTCGGCCGCGGTCGGTCGGTCCGGGTGATTCGTGGTTGGCGACTTGTTGGCGTCTCGGCAACGCGGCGATTTTTTTGGGCGTTTCACGTGGTGGTGGCTTGGTGGGAAGGCGCCGCGGACCGGGAAAGTTCTAGGCGCCTCGGGAGTTCCGTGGGTACATGTGGTCCGTGGGTGGAGGTTTTTTTTTTTAAGAAACAAACTTTATTAGCAGCAACGTGCTGCAATGTTGGTGAATAGATCACCGATTACAAACTGCAAAGCTGTCTTAGTGGGACAGCTGTTAACATGATTTGCATTGTTAGGCCTTGTTTAGATTGAAAAAAATTTCAAACCGATGAATAGTAGCACTTTTGTCTTATTTGGTAAATATTGTCCAATCGTGGACCAACTAAGCTTAAAAGATTCATCTCGTGATTTTCAACTAAACTGTGCAATTAGTTATTTTTTTACCTATATTTAATGCTCCATGCAAACGGCTAAAAATTAATGTGATGGAGAGAGAGTGAAAAAACTTGGAATTTTGAGTATATCTAAACAAGGCCTTACATAAAACTTGCAGTTGAGGCCTACCATACGGTAAAGATCTGAAAGCCTGATCAGCAGGAGCTGTGGTATTCAGCTTTCTATTGATCTTGAAGATTTTGCCATTGCATCGGGAAGAGGTGGGGGGTGTTGATGAAGCTTTGTCTGAATTTTGGAGGAATTTGAATGGTTTAGAAAAATGTTGGAGAAATTTGTGAGAGAAAAAAACACTGTTCGGATGAAAAAATAAGCGGATCAAGCTGGATTTAAGGGCACGCGAACGGGACTTTGTGTGTAGCTCTTGATACCGTGGGTGGGTTACATGTGGGACGTGAGTCGTGACCCCACCGCTGGTTGCCGACCGTTGGCCTAATCCTGTGTTTTACACGTGCTGCTGGGCCATGCTGTCTGTTAGTTCAAGAACGTGTCGCTGTAAGTGCCAGTTTGACAGAGCTCCTACAAAGGCGCCGTTCGGCTGATATGAACGGCGGCTGAAAATCACTATTTGGAGCTGAAAACACTGTTTATCCTCTTATAGATTTCTCCAAATTCATCCAAGTGAACAGGCCCAAAGGCTCCGGCTCCTGCTCTTGCAAGAGCTTGAAAAGATCTAACAATAGGAGGTGAATAGACATGTCTAAAAATTTATTGCAAATGCAAAGTTCAAATTTGTCGGCCACTGTCGGAAGTCCTGACAGTTTGGGTCAAAACTTCCGACGTCGTCAGAAGTTTCGGCGCAAACTGTCAGAAGTCCCAACACCTACGTAAACTACGAAAGCAGTGTCAAATTTAACTTTGCGGATAAATAATCTTACAACCCCACTTTCTAGTGGTTAGATGAAGATATTGGGTCACTCCCTTGATGTCGAAATGCCTCCAATTCGTAGATCGAGTCCAAACCTTAAGAAAAAGCTTGATAGAGAGAAAAACAAATACAAGTAATTTCGAACAAATCACAACAACAACAAGCACGCGGGACACGACGATTTATCCCGAGGTTCGACAACCCCACAAAGGAGCTCTTACGTCCTCGTTGTTGAGATGACCACTAAGGTTGGAGTCTCTTTCACCTCCTTGCCTCACTCAAGGAAACCACAAAGGGCACTTGAGTTTCTCCACTAGAAATCAAGGGTAATACAAACTTTCCAAAACTCTTCCACAAGTTGGAAGCTCTTGGGCGATGCCTAACCGGCTAAGTCATTGCAAACATGTCAACGTCGAGAGTTCTGGCGTATGTCGGGAGTTCCGACGGCTGGTACTGCGGGTAGGACAAGTGGCCAAGCGATGGGACCGTCGGCCAGAGCCGGGACTTCCGACCATCGGGAGTTCCGACTCACGTCAGGACTTCCGACGTCTGAATCACCAAGCAGACTAAGTCACTGGGCACCAGGACTTCCGGCTTGAGCCGAGACTTCCGACGCCTTAAGTCACCGAAAAATATTCTACGTGCCCGTGAAGTGCTAGAGTGTCTCTCTTTTGATTTTATTTTAATACTTGAGCACACTATCTTCCTCATACCACCTAAATTTGCATCCCTCTTTATAGTACGTCAAACCTAAACTCAAAAGCATGAAATCTAAACTTGGAGAGCGTTTGAGTTCGTTCGCCTTTTATACTTCAAGAATTGAGGGTCACCTTTTTCATCCAATACAACTCTTTAAATCTTTCATGGGACTAAAGTTGTAATGTATTTCTCATAGATGCTCATTAGTCCCTAATTTGGATGTCATCAATACACCAAAACCCACAACGGGGACAAATGCACTTTCAATCTCTCCCTTTTTGGTAATTGATGACAACCAACTTAGGTTTATATAAGATAGAAAGAATTTAAAGCTTTTGAACCCCAAAATTTGTGAAGAACTCCCCCTTAACATATGCATTTGATTTAAATTCCAAATGCAATAATAAATCATCATTTGCATATGTCAAGCAAAAAGAGCCCTCCCTAAATTTTGCAATCCGTGGGGTGCCTAAACTAAGTGTGTGAAACATATTGACGGTGCCATACTCCTAGGATTCCCGACTACCGGATATGCTGGCTACCGAATCCGTACCGAAGAAGGCCCGAAGGTTCACGACTCACCTATTCAAGGAAGGATATCTGAAGATCACGCCAAGATTCCGACTAGGGCACGGCTATGTAACTTGTAGGGCAAGTAGGCCTCGGATATAAATAGCTAGCCATCCGCCCTGTTGTAATCATCGAAATTTTCATAGGCATAGCCCTTTGTAACCTGTCATCTAGCCATCTCGACGAGATCGCAATATAAACAAATAGCTGCTGGACATAGGACTGTTACTCGCTTCCCCGGGGCCTGAACTAGGATAAATCTTGTGTCCCGAGTGTGCTTACTCTTTGCACCAAACAAGTTCCTCCATGAACCGAATATATGCCGGTAAAAAACACCGACAGAGGCGCGCCAGGTAGAGGGATTTCACGCAAAGAGTGATCATGCTGATCATCAGCGGAGTTTGATATACCAATCCGACGCGTTCTGACATCGAGGTATTGCCGACTTCGGTCAAATCTGAGATCTTGGGCGACTACCACTTAGGACCTCAGATCTATTTACCATCCCGCAACATGCCACCAGCTATCCACTTTGGAAGTCTGGTATTCGAGCACGACGGTGATTTCAACCTCAAGTGGATGGGGATCGATGATCCTGATCTGACCCATGCTGGCTGAGAGGTTTTCACCTCCTAGGCACACCCAACCGAGGAGGAGAAGAACGACAAAACTGCTCAACTCGATCTAGACTTCGAGGACTCAGACAGTGAGTTAGATCCCTTCGAAAGTCATCGAGTCTATATGGCTAGTCGTGATCAAACCCCGACAGATGAGGCTGGGTCGTCAGCTACTCGACCACCTCCATGCCTTAGCAATGCACCAACGCTCAACACCGTTGCGCCCTGGGCGCCGACTCAATCAACCCTGGTTCTGAGGAATCTAAGCTTTGACTTCCGAGTAGCCTAGGAAGATAACATCTAGCTCAGAATGCTCCTAGGTACTATGGGGCCCCTGGTGAAGAAGGCATGCCTTTGGCAAAAATCATCAACAGGCTCAGGATCTGGCTAACCGGACAAAGCAGCGCATAGATGCCAAAGCGGCCAAGTCCTGATCTCAGTCTAGAGTTTGTAACCCTCCTCCCAAGAGATCTAATCGATCAGTAGGAAACCGCTATCAACCAAGGCGAGGCCAAGATCTATGGCCTGAACTTGAGACGCATCATAGAAATCGTGATGCTCGGGAAACCATCAATATCAACATGGCCTATCACAGAAACTATTTGGTCACCCCCTATTCAGCATGTGTGCATAGATTACGCCAGGTGATATGGCCCGACAAGTTCCATCCTAGACCCATTGAGAAATACGATGGGACTAAACCCCAAGGAGTGGATCTAGGTCTATGAGATGGTGATCAAGGTAGCAGCAGGAGATGACTATGTAAAAGCTAATTCCTACCAACTGTCCTTCAAGGGTCTGCCCGAACTTGGCTGATGAATTTGCCCGAGTGCACGGTCCAATCTTGGAGCCATCTGCCCTAGCTATTCAAAGCCAACTTTAATGCAACTTACAGCCATCCCGGCCATGAAAATGACCTGTTTGCGTGTGTTCAGAAACCCAATGAGCATTTTTGGGATTTTATCCACAGGTTCAGTGAGATTCATAACACGATCCCTGACATGAGTGAGGATCGGGTGATCGTAGCCTTCAAGCAAGGGTGCAAGGATGAATGAACTGTGGAGAAGTTAGCC